GTGTGTGTGTGTGTGTGTGTGTGTGTGTGTGTGTGTGTGTGTGTGTGTATGTTGAGGTATAACATACAGTGCACAGCTTGATGAATCTATATACACACATACACATAAACACATGCAGCTTCCTCCTCAATCTAGATATACTGAGTGTCTGTATAGTTAAGAAACATGGGACAAACTTTTTTTTTTTTTTAGAAAGAGAGAGAGAGAGAGAGAGAGAGAGAGAGAGAGAGAATCTTAAGCGGGCTTTACGCTTAGCACAGAGCCCAACATGGGGCTCAATCCAATGACCTGAGCTGATCGTGACCTGAGCTGAAATCAAAAGTGGGACGTTCAACCAGCTGAGACACCCAGGTGCCCCAGGACAAACTTATTTTTAAACAGTATGTTACTTATATTTTCAAATAAGGTGCCCATTATGTTTTCATGTATACAATAAGCACAATTGAAAGTGGCCAAAAAGTCTAAAAACAAGAAAAATAGTCTATTTATTGTAGTTTTCACGTATTAACAATTGGACCCATTGTCTTAAATTTAGAAGTATTTTACCTGAAAAGGTAATTTGAGTTTAAAGAAAAAGATAGTATATTATCTGAAACTAATACATACTTATTCTGCTTCCTGACTTTATGGGCAGTCTGTACTATGTGACACTTCCAGTACCCAAAAAAGTTTTCTTATCTTCCTTTCTGGTCAGTAATCCCTAGCCATGAGAGGTAACCACTATTCTGACTTACATCATTACATCATCGTATTTCTTCAGATACTCTTTCTCTGTTTGTTAACATGTGCGGTAAAGGAAAACAGAACTGAAAAGAAACAAACAGATCTTTGCAGCCAAAGCCATGTTTTATCAGTTAACAACTTTCATACTCCCTTTTTTCCAAAGACAATTACTTAGGAGCATTTCCAAACTTTTTAATTGAAAAAGTTTCTGGTACAGTATGTAGTTATTACAAAAGCAACAAAGCTGATGGAAAATATGTAATAGAAGACTTGAGACTGCTTTTAAATAGGACTAGAACCAAATGTTACTAAATTAATGGAAACATGCAAAAGTAGAAATCTCATTTTTTTTTAATTAGAGGTTTTAAAATATTTATTTATTTTGAGAGAGAGAGAGCACCAATGAGGAAGGGGCAGAGAGAGGGAGACACAGAATCTGAAACAGGCTCCAGGCTCGAGCTTTCAGCACAGAACCCAATGCGGGGCCCGAACCCAGGAACTGGGGACCATGACCTGAGCTGAAGTCACAAGCTTAACTGACTGAGTCACCCAGGTGCCCCTCATTTTTTTAATAGAAATGATTTTCAAATACTTGCTATTATAGGGGCGCCTGGATTGCTCAATCAGTTTAGCGTCTGACTTCAGCTCTGGTCATGACCTGATAGTTCGTGGGTTTGAGCCCTACATTGGGTTCTTTGCTGATAGCTCAGAGTCTGAAGGCTGCTTTGGATTCTGTGTCTCCCTTTGTCTCTGCCCCTCTCCCGCTCACGCTTTGTCTTTCTCTCTCTCAAAATAGAATAAACATTAACAATTATTTTTTAAATACTTGCTATTATTGCCACGCTAAATATTAAAAACTATATTTTTGTATAATGATAAATTATGTGACTATTAAAAATTTTAATGTGAAAAATCTATTTAAAATTCCAATTCTATTTTTGGATTGCTCCTGTTTATTCTTACTCAGAATGTATCCATAAAGAGCAACCACGTATCTGCTCTATATTCTTGTTTTGGCCCAGTCTATCCTGTGTTCCTCATCACCTTTTGACAGTATGATCACTGAAGTCTTTTTAAGTAAATGTATATACTGAATGTAGTCTGAATTATGGTGGAATTTCTAAGTAGGATTTAATTCCCTTATACCTTACCATGTTATAATATGGTGAATTATTTTGACATGACACTTTCAATAAGGCCATCTCATTTGTAGTAATACTGCACTTCCTAATTTTCACCATTTCAACAGCCTATACTTTGTCTTGGTAGGTTATCCATACTCCATTATTTCCTCTTTTTTTTTTTTGTCATATTCAAGTAATATAGACTGTTATTTCTTATAAAACACTAATTTTTCTTTTTAAAAAAAATTTTTTTTTAACGTTTATTTATTTTTGAGACAGAGAGAGACAGAGCATGAACGGGGGAGGGGCAGAGAGAGAGGGAGACACAGAATCGGAAGCAGGCTCCAGGCTCTGAGCCGTCAGCCCAGAGCCCGACGCGGGGCTCGAACTCACAGACTGCGAGATCGTGACCTGAGCTGAAGTCGGACGCCCAACCGACTGAGCCACCCAGGCACCCCAAAACACTAATTTTTCTATTTCTGCTTATGATCTTTTGTTTTCTATGTAGAATGACTTCTAATATAAATTTTCTTAAATCCAAATTTACTCAGGATAATAGGTACAATTATTTGAGTACTTCATTATATCTGTTTTTCCTTTGTATTTTTATTTATATGTACAGAAATACTATCTTTTTTTTTTTTTTTTAGAATAGTAAAGGGGACTTTACGAAATATGTTCTAAAGGGGGAAGTTGAGTCTCAAAGGGTTGAGAAACTATTCTAAACAAATCAGTGCCATGAAGTTTTCCAGTTATTCTACTAGAACTGTTCAGGAGACTGTGGGAGTCTGTAGCAGGGGAATGCTCATTCAGGCAGAGAGTGGAATTTGTGGCAGGATCATGGAAATGTGAGGCTGTGCAGGACAAGTTTAACCTTTTCAAAAACTGGCTTGTTTCTGTGTGTCTTTCTTTTCTAACTGGTAAGTTCCTTGAGGGGCAGAGACCCTTTTTCCTTACTCTGAGTACCCAGTGCTGGGCCTAGTCCATGGAAAATACATAATAAATGTTGGAAGACTCAGCAGCTCCCATACAGGTATGCAAGTTTGAGGGGGAGAGAATAAGTGAGAGCCTGGCTAGAAGCCAGACTGCCACAAGAGTCCCAAGGGATGGATCACTGATACGCCATGCTCAGAAGAAAATTTAATGATTGCCTAAGTACTTTGGGGATATATCCCCTAAATATCCCCAAATCTTAAAAGATTGGAAATTAGCATATTATTCTAAGGCAAGGGTCCTTAGAATACAGAGAGATTATTAATTTGGATAGAAAAAAATACATTGTTATTTTTACTAACCTCATACTGAAATTTAGCATTTCCTTCAGTGTTGAATGTAGATCATGGTGGTAGAATTAGCAGTACCTGTAACTTTTTGCTACTAAAAGCCACAGATATTTTCAATTTTAGTTATTGCAGATACCTCACAATATTGTTGATGCTCATTATTTTCATATGATGGTAATTATTAGACCTGCCACTTGATCTTATTTAAATCATTAATAAAGAAGCACATGTATTACCTATCACAACACTTCAATAGTTGTATTTTAAATTTTATTGTAAAACACTCTAAAATTCTGGAGTAAGCAAAAGCGATGAATAATGACAGAAATCAGATGAGTGGTTGCTTCTTGTAGAGAAGGTTGGTTGGGAAAGGGGCACAAGGGAACTTTGTAGGGTGAAGGAAGTGCCCCATGTATGGTTTGCATATGTCAAAGGTGACTGAATGTTAAACTTGAGATCTACATTTTGCTGTATGTAAATTGTACCTCACTTAAAAAAACTAACACACTTAAAACTATTCTTAGAAAGGGTCTGTAGGCTTCATCCAAGTGCCAAAGAAATCTCTGGTAGCAAAGCTGGTTAAGAACCCTTTTTCTGAGGCCATCCTGTTACCTTTGCCTTTCCCTTTCTTTGAGTACCCTCTTTCTTCCAGGTGCTTTTGCTATTCGTTTCCTTTTTTTTCCTTTTTCCTAAATGTGGTCTACATTTTTGACCTAAGGAAAGTCAGAAAAGAAAATAGCAGCTATGAAAGAAATTTTTCTTGCTTGGCTTATCTGCCACTTTCTTGAAGCCAAGGTTGTAGCTCTCCTAACATGGTTATATATTTGCTTAGATCTGAAGTAATTTCCAGTGAGAACTACTCTTCTAAAAACTAATTTGTAGATAATTTCAAAATGGAAGGATTTTTCTTACCCAGTTTTGCTTGGAGTTTAGTAGGATTTGTGTCCTTTTATATCATTGCATATGCAGTTCTGTTATGAAGTAGACATGAACATTTATAACAAAGATTGGAAGAAAATAAAATGTATTAGGAATCAGTAAAGCACCAAGGAATTAGGAAAGAACAGATGAACATAAGGGAAGGGAAGTAAAAATAATATAAAAACAAGGAGAGGGACAAAACACAAGAGTCTCTTAAATACAGAGAACAAACTGAGGGTTGCTGGAGGAGTTGTGGGTGGGGGGATGGGCTAAATGAGTAAGGAGCATTAAGGAAGACACTTTTTGGTATAAGCACTGGTGTTATTCATAGGGGATGAATCGCTGGAATCTACCCCTGAAATCATTATTGTACTATATGCTAACTAACTTGGATATTAATAAAAAATAAATAAATAAAATTAAAAAAATAAATAAACATTAAAAATTTTAAATTAATATTATTGACAATCTATTCCAGATTTTTTTCCAGAAATTCCATCTAGTATCCTCAATACAATGTGATTGTTTATTCCAAATTCAAATGTGTTTTACGTGTATAAAATTCAGAGTAATAAATATCAAATATTAGCCTATATTTAGTTTAAAATGGGATGATAGTGCTTGAAGATGTTAAATACAGTGGTAGATCACATATAGAACAAACATTAGGCTATTAGGGGCACATAGTGTTAGGACTACTCCTAATAGAACTCTTGTTGCCTATCATACCTATTAGTTTTACTCTACGGTTCTAACATTTCCGTAGTCTTTTTATTTATCTAGATAAATTTAATGGGACACTTGTTGTAATAGATTACAAAGTATGCTAAGAAAGATTGAGCTAAGGTGGGTAGTCTTAACGGATTTTTGTCCAAATAGCATCTGTGTATCTTTTATGACTTGGTATTAGATAAAGAACCTAAAATACTGTTTGGTGGTTTCTTTGCAGCCTCTCGTGTGGAAAATTTGAAATGCAGAGGAGAAACAATAGCTAAAGAGATCAGTGAAGCCATGAAGGTAAAAGCTACATGCTAAACAGTTATAAAATGAATGAAATGTGTAGCTAGGTGTTCGTTTTCAACATCTATGTGTATTTTAGTCTATTGTAACAGGAATTCTCAGTAGTCTTTTAAGTAGATCTTTAATGAATTTATGAAGTGACAATAACATTCAGAATAACTACCATTTAATAGGAAGTATATGCCAATATATCTGACTTCTTTGAAGATTGGTTATATTTTTTAATTCTGAGATTTAGCGGTCTATCAGACAGTTTTGGATAATAATACCACCTAACACGTAGTGAGCATTTATGGGTCAGACACCATCTAACTGCTTTACATATATTATCTTACTTAATCCTTAAAATAACACTATGAGATAGGTACTGCTAATTTCTGTGTTTTATAGTTGAGAAACTGCGGCTCAGAGAGGCTCTAGATTGCCCAAGTAAATGAGTCAGGACTTACACCCTGGATATTTGGCTCCCGAGCCTTTAATTCTTTTTTTTTTTTTTTTTAAAGTTTTATTTATTTAGTTTGACAGAGAGAGAGAGAGAGAGAGAGAGAGAGATCATGCATGTGCACATTGGGGAGGGGTGGAGAGAGAGGAAGAGAGAAAATCCCAAGAAGGCTCCTCGCTGTCAGTGCAGAGCCCTGTGTGGGGCTCAATCTCACGAGCTGTGAGATCATGACCTGCGCTGAAATCAAGAGTCAGACGCTTAACCAACTCAGCCACCCAGGAGCCCCAGTATACTCTTAATCACTGTATTATGTATGCTGCGTATTCAATTTGGAGTCTTAGTATTATAATAAAATTGCTTATCTTCTCGACATTTATTTTATGCAAACAAGAAAACATTTGGATTTCTAGTATATGAAAATTATTTTTAAAAAACTCCTGAATCTTCCTTGTTCTGATAATTTTCTATGACATTCTTTTGTGGTTTGTATTGATTCCATGATTTTCTGGTGCTCATGCTTCTCCCATTGCATGTTCTTTATCAGGAGTTAGCAAACTAGTGAGCCAGGCAAGAACCCAGCCTGCACTTGTTTTTGTAAATAAAACTTCATGTCACAGCTCTGCCTATCCATTTACTTATTGTCTGTGGCTCCATTACATTACGATGGCAGAGTTGAGTAATTGTGACAGGGATGTGAGGCCCTTTACAGGAAAAATGTACTGATCCCTGCCTGGTCTTGATGATCGGGATTTCCAAAATACTTACTATCCTAAAATATGGAATCTCAGACATCACATCAAATCCTTGGCTCTGAAATTCTGTTAACTTCCTGTTGCCAAAGTTTTGTTTTATTTTATTACCAGACATTGTAGGAATAGAATATATCTTTTTAGTTTTAGTTTTTGGTTAAAATCTCTCAGCATTTAAAATTGGTATTTTAAGGTAAAAGCAAATATCCATGACCCAAATAATTAGGTCTTAGAAAAGCCTTGACCTAAAGAATTAAAATCTCGAGTGTTGTATCTGTTTCTGTGTGGTTGTGTTTCAAACTGAGATTAATGTTAAGTATTACTGTTGTTTGTTTAAGTCCTTGCCTGCATTAATTGAACAAGGAAATGGATTTTCCCAAGTTTTAAAGATGCAGCCTATTATCCAGCTCCAGAGAGTCCACCAAGAAGTCTTTTCCGCTTGTTACAAGCAACCAGATGTTAAACCTGAGAGCTTTATTACACAAATAGAAACCACACCAACAGAGACTTCTACCAGGAAAGCCACTGATGTGGTACTGAAAAGAAGGCAAACTAAAGACTGTCCCCAAAGAAAATGGTATCCGTTGCGGCCAAAGAGAATTAATCTTGACACCTCTTGACAGCTCTTTTTGTTTATCTTGCGAGTTGAAATTCGGCACTATCAACATTTAGATTACAGCCTAATGCCTAGACAGGGCTTCCTTTAAAAAGACAAATAACTCTTTAACTAGTGATTCCTTTATACAAATATAGTAGCTCTATGCTGACATAGAATGTAATCATTGTGTTTCCTTATCATTTTGTCTTTAGTGATGAAAAGCATATTTTTTGAATATTGGCACAAAGAGATCAGTGGGTATTAAGAGTGCAAACTTTTACTGTCCTTAAATGTAATCAACTCTCGGCTACCTTACAGCTTTTGTGGAATACCACGAGTAACACGTTCTATTAGATTTCTGGTGTACATCTTTCTCTGAAAAAGAGCAGTGTAACAGGTATCTTTATTTAAATGCTAAAAGTAATCCTCTGTTCTGATTAGGAGCCAGGAGCAGATGCATTTGGGTTTTGTTTTTGTTTTTGTTTTTTTTCAATGCAGTTTTGACTTATCACATTGATATGCAGATGAGAAGACTGGCTTTGACTTTGTTACTCCAAGTTCAGCTAATTTGGATTTGTGGTGTTATTTTTAGGATTTTTGTGTTTTTGTTTTGTTTTGTAAGACAAAGAAGACTTATTTATATAAGACTTTCTGTTAGAAATAAAAATTGGCATGGAGCCAGTATTTCTTGTTCACACTTCTGTTCTCCACAGGCCTTTCAACTTTTAAATATTATTTGACTTAGGACTAGTAGTTTCTTTTTAGGGTTTTTCATTATTTCCACATGATTGCAGTTCAAAAATATATATCGCATTAATACATTAACAAATTGTCATTGCGGAACAAAAATAGATGTAGTCATACTGAACTATTTTACATTTAAGGATGCTTATTTATCAAGGACATAATTATTGGTAGAAGTCTGAGAAAGCTATGTTGCCTATACTTCTAACATTTCACTACAGTTTCTTATAGCTCTTACTGTACCTCTTCGTCACAGTAATACAATGCAGACAGGGCCATCTAACTTTTCTCCTTTTGGTGACTGTACGACTTCATTCACTTGCAGAGGAATTTACTAATCATGAGGTTGGAAAATCTGTACTTCCCTTGTTTATATGACTTAATCATAAATGTCTAAATGTGACAGAAAATCTGTCTCATTGAAGAAAATTTATAAAGCCACTGTATTTCACTCTGTATTTTAATGTTACAATTTGATATCTGTATATTTGTAACAGCAGTGTGTTTTTTATTAAAATAATGTACAAAGAACTGAAATCTTAAAACTATGTATTTTTTTTTTTTCAACGTTTATTTATTTTTTGGGACAGAGAGAGACAGAGCATGAACGGGGGAGGGGCAGAGAGAGAGGGAGACACAGAATCGGAAACAGGCTCCAGGCTCTGAGCCATCAGCCCAGAGCCCGACGCGGGGCTCGAACTCACGGACCGCGAGATCGTGACCTGGCTGAAGTCGGACGCTTAACCGACTGCGCCAGCCAGGCGCCCCAAAACTATGTATTTTTTAATTATCTCAGGCATCTTGAGCTCAGCTTTAGTTGAATGGTAAATAAGCATCCTGCATTTCTCAACATACTAAATTTCACTTTAAAGTTGTTATGAGGCTACAGGAGCACCTGGGTGGTTCAGTCGGTTAAGTGTCCGACTTCAGCTCAGGTCATGGTTTCGCAGTTCGTGAGTTCGAACCCCATATTGGGCTCTGTGCTGACAGCTCAGAGCCTGGAGCCTGCTTTGGATTCTGTGTCTCGCTCTCTCCCTGTCCTTCTCCTGCTGGCACCCTGTCTCTGTCTCTCTCTCAAAAATAAACATTAAAAATTAAAAAAAAAATTTAAATTGTTGTGAGGCTACAGAATATTGCTATTCTAATATAGTGCTAAGTTTTTTATGGCATAAAATTCTGTATGAGGTGTTTCACTTCAATAGCCTATAAACAATTGTTAACTTTCCTGGATAATTGCATTGATGATTATATAAGAAAATGTCTTCCTTTTTTTAAGATGTCTATTTACTTATTTTTGAGAGAGAGACTGCATGAGTGGGGAGGGGCAGAGAGAGAGGGAGACAGAGAATTCGAAGCAGGCTTGAGGCTCTGAGCTGTCAGTGCAAAGCCTGATGTGTTGCTTGAACTCACAAACCATAAGATCATGACCTGAGCCAAAGTCAGATGCTTCACCAAGTGAGCCACCCACATGCCCCTAAGAAAATGTCTTCCTTTTTTAAGAGATACATATTGAGATACATAGAATTTAATGACTTCATGTCTTGGATTTTCTCAGAAATATGTCAGCAAAGAAAAAAAGAATAGATTAAGTAAATGTGGCAAAAATCTTAATAGTGGATCTGTATAATGTATCCATTCCTCTACTCTTTTTTTTTAATTTTTTTTAACGTTAATTTATTTTTGGGACAATGTGAGAGACAGAGTGTAAGCAGCAGAGGGGCAGACAGAGGGAGACACAGAATCTGAAGCAGGCTCCAGGCTCTGAGCTGTCAGCCCAGAGCCGGATGCGAGGCTCGAACTCACGAACCGTGAGATCATGACCTGAGCTGAAGTTGGACATTTAACTGACTGGGCCACTCAGGCGCCCCATTCCTCTACTCTTTTGTCTGTTTGGAAATTTTTATAATTAAAAAAAAAAAAAAGTTTGTTATACCTTAAAGGTCCCAGACAGCTGAAACTTGAAATCCCTCAGAGAGCCCAAAGTTCCACTCCACAGTTATAGGAGAGTTCCGAATCAAAGACCACTGGACAAGACAGTATGTTGCCATTTTTAACCAGGATAAGCATGGCTGATACAAGTAAAAGTATTGGTTAAGTATACGTTTCTAAGAGAGATTAGAAGTATTTTCTTCTAAGAAGAGAGATTGAATTCCTGCATAAAGCATGAATTAGCTAAGATGATGAAAAGGAAGAAAATCTATAGTTGTAGGCAGTATTGAAGGAAAACAAAATCAAACAGCCTCCTTGTGGTATGAAGAAGGCTGGGTTGCATGGGGTCTTAAAATTTCCTTTAAACAAAAAACAAAAACGAAAGTACAACACAAGAAGGTCAAATCCAGTTCCAAAGGAGAGAAAACACATTAAAGCAGCTGATTTCTGGAAGAAGTGAAGGAAAATCTGTTTTCCATACTTCAGCCATTAGTGTACTTGAGCTGCTGTAACAAAATATCAGACTGGGTGGCTTCAACAACAGAAATTCAATTTCTCATATTTCTGGAGGCTTGAAATCCACGATGAAGAGGCTGGCAAATTCGGGGTCTGGTGCGGTCTCTCTTCCTTTGTATATACGTAGGGGTAGAAGTGCTGGTATCTCTTCTTGTAAGGACATTAATCCTATTGGATCAGAGCCCCACCCATATAACCTCATTTAATCTTAAATTATTCCCTTAGAGGCCCCGTCTCCAAATAGAACCACACTGGGGGTTAGGGCTTCAACTAGGGATTTTGAGGACATGCAAATACTCAGTCCATAACAGTAGACAACAGAAATTTTATCCTAGCCCCCTTTCTCTGGGTCTTTATGGCTTGGGCTGCAATGGAGAACAAAGTCAATAAAATAAAACTTTTTGTTGGCTTCAAAATATGGCTATCTCTGAGACTGAATTTGTTTGACTTCTTTTGAAGGCTATGGTTTTTCCTTCTCTACCTTCACGTTGGTTCATCCATTCAACAAATACACGTTAGGCACCTACTCAGTTCAAAAGTCAGGTTCAGAGCATAGTCTCAGAGCCAGATCATCTATTGGTTTTTTTTTTTTTTTAATTTTTTAATGTTTATTTATTTTTAGAGAGACAGAGTGTGAGCGAGGGAGGGGCAGAGACAGAGGGAGACACAGAATCCGAAGCAGGTTCCAAGCTCTGAGCTGTTAGCACAGAGCCTGATGCAGGGCTTGAACCCATGAACCATGAGATCATGATCTGAGCCGAAGTCAGACGCTTAACTGACTGAGCCACCCAGGTGCCCCTATTGGTTATTATTAAGAGTTAAATAACATTGGGCAAGTTACTTAATCTCTCTGTGTTGCTGTCTTCTCTAATGTAACATGGGAACGATGTTAATATTATTATGTGAAGTAAATGTGTTCATAATATAAAATCCTTAGACTACTACTTGGCACAAAGTTTACATAGTGAGCATGCTGTAAGCACTATTAATACTTGGTTTGATGAAGGAAATGAAAACGTTCATAGGATAAACATTGTCTTCAAGAAGTTTATATTCTAGTGAAGAGAATGACCATATGAACAATGATCATGCAAAGCAGTAAATGCTATATAGATGTATATGTGGCAAACTTTGAGAAGTCATGGAAGTCTTTGCGGAGGAGGTGACATTTCTGCAGTTTTGGATATTTTAGGCAAATAATCAGGAGGATTCCTGGCAATGTGAAGGGAATATCCCAAGGCTGGTGGTTGTCAGACCAAATGCATGGTGTACTGAGGACCATCAGGTAAGGCTTGATGTATAGGTCTTGTCTAAAAAGATTTGTTATAAGGAAAATTAAAAAAAGAAAACAAAAACTTGTCATAGGTGAACTTGAACAGAGGCAGGGTCAGCTCTTAAGAACTTTGTACATTTTAGAATTGGTGATGAGAAGCCATTAATTTTGACAAAGGAGGTGAAAGGAAATGGAGATCTATTGAATCCATTTTTCTCCTTGTGTAGTATTTACCCCAAAATAGCAAGAGTAAGAGAAACACACACTCATCTTCTGAAGAAACCAAGAGGTATGTTGCCCAGACCATAGCATATGAAGAAGGAATGTGTATGGAGGAAAGAGTAATGAATTAGCAGGTCAGAGGAAGATCAAGTCTAAGTGTCTGCAGAGAGAGACATTGGTAAGAGAAATTTGCCAATTTGCTCCCAGAATCTCTAGAACACTGAAGAATGGAGGACACTGTAAAAGGCTGAGATGAGATAGAGGAACCTAAAAATGAGATCATGTCCCCCCTCCACTCACTGTCAGTAATTGCCTCTGCCAAAGGAACTTACTTTCTG